CCCTGGAAAAAGACACACATCAACTGGGCCTCAGGGATCTCAGGGAGATGCAAAACTACTACTTTTAAACCAAAACTGGAGGTTTAAGGATGGAGCTTAATCAGAAAGGCCAACGAGTCTCTCAAGTCCAAGGTGAAGAGTGAACCCAAGTGCACTTAGTGCTAACTTGCAAAAATCCAGCTATTGGATTAAAGCAAGAACAGTTAAATGTAGTCATGAGCCTACACAATGGCTCTATAGAGTTTAGAATCCATTGTTACTCTCTGTATTCCTTGAGATTCACTGTGTTCTCTACTGATAACTCACTAAGGAAGATGAGCACAGGGAAAAGATTACAACTCCCAAATCAGCTGACTTACAAAGATAAACTTTCTCTCATATGGATGGATAGTCTCTGTATTTTTTGCCCCAGGTCACCTCATAACGAATGGGAAGACATGGGTTCATCTGATTTTGTTTTTGCATATTGACTAATTGTTTCCATTTAAGAATATGAACAGTACTAGAGGTGTGGCAAAAGTGGCAAAGCATCTGCCTAGCAAGCACAAGGCCCTGAGTTCAAGCCTCTGTACCAGCAATAAAGAATAAAATTACCAACAAGACTTTAATGATATGTAAGACTGGATAAAGCATAGCAATAGGATTAATTGGAATCCCAAGATAATCCTGCCGAATCATGTTAATAATCCCTAAATCTTCTATACCAAATCTTCTATCACAGCTTTTATTAGTAGCCAAGTCGCCAGATTTGGATTCCACCTCCTTTCCCAATTACAACCTTATTAGAGGCACCAAGATTAATCAAAAAGCTAAAATTTGAAAAGAAGAAATACTGAAGGGAAGGGAAAAAAAAGCTTTAGTGAAGAAATGACCGATAGAAAACAAGTCAGGTAAGAAATGCTAAACTGCTATTCTTGCTAGCCTCAGGCACACAGAAACACTAGGCTAAAGAAGAAAAGGATAAGGGAGGTTATGTATGTGGAAAGGGAGGTTGGGAGAAAATGTGAGACTGTCCTACAACCTGCTGGAAAACTGGATAATGCCATTTGTCTACCATCCTGTCTCTGAAAAACCTCAAAAATGCTCAAACACTGAGCGTCTAACTATCCTTTGCCAAAATCACATTTCCTTACTCTTGTTTCTCTGGCTATTTCAGAAATTGACATGGCTGTAGACGCCCCCCCTTTGTTAAAGCATCAATTTTCATACTTAAGTATAAACTTTATGGCTTTTATGTAAAATACAGAGAGAATTTTCTCATGTCTTTAAGCTACGTCCTTGCATTGTTATTTACCAACTATTCTGGATATATTGTAGGATTGCACGTCCTTATCTTCTTGTGATTGAGTAGAGCCACACCACTAGTTCTGGCCAATGAGCTGTGAGCAGAGTGTCTGAGTTGAAGTACTTAGTTCCTGGTGTAGGTCACTCTAGACATTTCTTTCTCTCACTAGAGTGGCCAGCAATATTGCTCCAGTAGGCGGGAGGCTTAAAGTAAGGAGGACATAAAGCAAAGATACAGCTGATCAGAAATTGTGGTATAGTGAGAGCAGGGAAACAGCTGTTTCTTAACGTATGGAAGTTTTGGGTAAAGACTGGCATGATTGTTGCCATAGCACAGTCTAACCTATACTGATTGATACAATCATATTTGCATAGTATGTAAGGTCTGCTTCTTGATGCAGAAATCTTATTATCACTTATATATGGTGAAAGCCAAGCAAACTTGGCTCTAGAATTTAAAAAGGTAGCCTAACCCAAACAAATTATAGCTTCCAAGCAGAAACCTGAGAAGATCTTCAAACAGGGCTCTCTTTAATAACTCCAACTCACTCAACAAAAATCTGAGACGTCACTACAAAGTTGTATGTTTTATCAAGTAAAAAATCTGCACTTAAAAATAGGAAGAAAATAGAAGATACTTTTCTGTTTGATCGCTAGCAGTATTATGGTAGTTTCGTTCAATATTTATAGCATAATAAAGATATATTATGGAAATTGGGCAAAAGGATAGAGAAGGCAGATGTTTAATTGTAATAATTGAATGAACAATTACATGGCAGCTCTTTGGCAGATGATATGCAGTGAAATACGCTCTTCTGCACTAATTATTTTCAGTAGCTAGCTCTGAGTATAAAAATGTGCTCAGTGCTGAGGATCCAAACATGAGTAATATGAGCTCCCTGTCATCGTCATGGGAACTGATGATTGAGTGGCAGGGGATAAGAAAGGGACAAGAGGCAGGAGGACGTTAAGTGCTCTAAGAAGAGCACACCCATGCTGTGGTATACCCGGGTGGAGGGTTTGAAGGGGAGAAAAATTGATACGTGGCTGTGGTTCCAAGCCATTCCATCGGTGCTACATAGCCAGTAGAGGCAGCTAGCTACTTGACTAGAAAACTTGAGTATCAGAGACTGGTTGTCAGCAAGAAACGCCTGAAAGCCTGGGCAGAAGCAGTTGTTAGTTTAGTTTAAAAAAAAAAAGTCAACATTATGCAGAGGAAGCTAGCGTTCTTGCCATCTAATCTTAAATCTAGCAACTCTGTTTGAAGCCAACGACTTCACTACTTCCACACTGCTCTATCAATTTGTGGTTTCATTTGGCAAGAGTTTGCACAGGAGAAGCAAACAAAAGCAAACTCACAGCCTATGTGGGAAAGTGTATACAAGCATAGATTTAAATCACAGTGTAAAAATAATCACATGGAAACAATGGCAAGTATGTAATCAAAAACATGTTAGGAACAGAAAGTAACAAAAGAACTATAAAAATAGGGAAATTATTTGAAAGAACCTCACAAAGATGGCTGTTTTACACCATGGCAAGCTATTCCTTTGGCCATGCTAAGACAGAAAACTCTGGACCAATCCAATTTCTGGACATACAAGACTATCAGGCTCCCTTCTTGTCCAGTTGTTGAGTACTGAATGAATACCTGGCTCATTGTGAGAGTTTTAGGAAGTTTAGGACAGTTGGAAGGGAGTGCCCATTTATAATTCAATAAATGAATCCTTCAATAAATTACAATCTGATTTTCAAAAAAGGCACTGTCAAAACATTTAAGAGGATGGTAATGGAAGTATGTTCTCTATATATCATGTCAAAGGAAACACCAATTCCATTTGTATCTACTGGATAGAAGCAAGATGTGCTCTTTTCAGAGTTTACACTAGGAAAAAAAGTTTTATTTTAACCAGATGTGAGCAAATTAAACCCAATATTTTCAAGTATTTTTAGTGCCATATGATGTCATCTGATTTTATATTTTCTACCGAGGGATAATGTGTATTTTAAAAATTATGAAGCCACTTTCCATGTATGTACTTAAAATCTTATACATGATAAGTTACAATAAACAAATGACAACACTGCAGGACATGCTGTTGGCTGTTTAGACAAAAGCTGGGGGGAAAATTCAGTTTTTTGGTAGGAAGTGGAATAAAAAATGTGAGTGTCTTCAGCTGGGACTCAAGATAGCGGTCACAGAGTGACCACAGCACTAGTCCAATTAGTCCAGGGCAACAGTGGCGCTTTGGTCATTCTTAGTGTACCAACAATTGCCTCTTTCCTGTGGAGTTCATGGGAACTACATACAGTAAGTATGCTAAACACCCAGGGAGCCCCAGATTTTAAACAACCAGGCCTTCCTTTTTATTGGCAATATATTTTCACACCACATCCCAATTGGCACTCCTCAGGTAGTAGTGCTGGCTTTCCCTGACTCTTGGCACCACTCGTGTGTCCTCGGCAACTGGCAAGGGAACTAACTGGATGCCCCTAACTGAGCAGGACTTAATTCATCACACCTTTCTCTGGGACAGCCTCAGGCAAGCAGCCATACCCTGGAGCAAGAGTGTGGTCCTCAATGGCTGTGCTGGGTGGAGGTGTCCAAGTCATCTCGCCTGGGAAAGGGATTTCTTACAAACCATTTAAAGCTTTCCAAAGGGCAACAGCGAGACGGTGGTGAGCCAGAGTTGCCATAAATGCTTTCACTCCCCCGACTTCATCTCGGAAATCAGGAAGGAAAGACGCAGTCACCACTGCAGGCGTTGCTCACGCCTGGTCCAGCAGCCTCCTCGCCCCCTGAGACGCTGAAAGTAAAGTGACTGTGACTGCAGGGCCGCGGGTACATTAAAACGCAGTCGAATTAACAAGCCTTTACTTCAGACCGACATCTCGGCGGCAGCCCCCTCCCCCCGCACTTGGGCGCAGAACATTCGGCAAAGCCCCCTCCCCTCGCCCTGCGAAGTCCTGGAGGGCGGCGCGCCTGGGGAGGACAGCGCGCGAAGCCTCGGTGCCACAGCAGAACACTCTGCCCAGCGCCCCCCGGACACCAGTTTCTCGGGACGGTGCCCACCTTCTGCTTCTCCCCAGGCTCTCTCCCCGGTTTATGCTGGAACCCCGGAATGGTTTGGAGACCAGTGAGGTGGCGGCGGTTGACGCGTGGATGGCGGTGAGGGGCGATTTCATTTCAGGGGGAGAGGCCGCGAAGCAAATGGGGAGGGGGAGAACGCGGGAAGCGGGGGCCAAAGTGGGCGGGAGGAGGCGAGGCCAGCCGGGGAGGCCGAGACGCAGGAGGCGCGAGAGCGAAAGGTGAGGCCGGAGCCGCAGGTCGGCGCTCGGGGCCCGCAGGGTCGGGTGGGGAGGCGGCCAGGGGCGCGGCGGGGAGGGGCGCGCTGCAGGGCGGCCGGGAGGTCGCTGTCGCTCAGCCGAGCCGGGCTCGCCGGCCGGGGAGCGCGCGGGGCGCACGGCAGCCGGAGGGCGCGGCGGCTCCACAGCGTCGGCACGGCAGTGGCCGCGCGGGGACCCCGGGCCCGAACCGTGCGCCGCACCCGCGCCGCGTCCCTCGGCCGCCCCGGGGCTACCCCCGCCCGCGCGCCCGTTAGGGGGCTGGGGAGCGGCGCCCGCGGCCCGGCCGCATTGTGACGTAGCGGGCCGCGGCAGCGCCCCCGCCGCCCGCCCGCTCCCGCCGTGCCTGTTCCTGCGCCTGCTGCCGTCCGTCCGTCTGTCCGTCAGCCTCTTCGCGCTCCCGAGCCTCCCGCGCGCCCAGCGCTCCCGGTGAGTCCAGGTCCCCAGCGGGCGCCGCGGGGAGGCGAAGGGCAGTGGCGCGGGGGGCAGAGCCTTTGCAAGTTTGCACCGGGCGACCCCTGGGTGTCGCCTCCGCTCCCCCCAGCCTGGGCCCCCTTTGTGCCGCGAGTCCCGCAGCTCCGGGAGCCGCCGCGGGAGGCAGGGGGCGGGGGTCTCTATAGTAACCGAGGCGGCGGCGGCCGAGCCGCTCCGGGAACCGGGCCGGAGGATTGTTCTGTGAATTCGCCCGCGCCCGCCGTGCGCTTATTATTCGTGCTGCCACCTCGGGTGGTATTGGAGGCGAGGATGGGCAGCGCGGGGGCTCCTCGGGGCTGAGCCAGGGAGGGAAGTGACAGTAGTAGCCACAGGAATAACAATAACACTTAAGGAAGAAGAGGGGCGCAGGGCTTGCTCCGCCCAAGGGGAGCCCTCGCCCCTCGCCCCGGCTCCCCGGCTGCCCCGTCCGGCCCGGTTCTGTCGCCTTCCGGCGCTGTCCGGTGTCCCGGCTCGTCCTAGTCCATCTCGCCAGGAAGGTTTCTTGGCCTCCTCGGTGCTGATGACTTTCATCTGCAGGTGGTAAGTGGACTGAACCCAATTTTGGCTTTTGTCAAATGCCACGTTTTGTTTATTTCATTTTTACGAAAAGAAAAGGGAAAATTATGAGCCATTCCTGGCAGCCATACAGTTTCCACAGGAAATACTAGCATTCTTTGAGGAACACGCTACTGCTCGTAGCGAAGAAAGTCTTTAGGAAACAAAAAGGCAACAGCATTGTTGCTCATTTTCAATGGACCGCTGGGAGGGTGGAAACGGCTTTTTTTTCTCCTGTGGGAACGTTGCTTTCTTTGGGAAAGTTCATTAAGGAAGTGTTGCTGTCGGGACCCCTTTTTCACTTGCTGGAGGCTGGACTCCATCTTCTTTGATGACAAGTGCCCGTGCAAGAGCCCCAGGAGGAGAGAACCACAGAGGACAGTCTGGACACAGCACGTGCGGTGGAACCCCGCCAGGGTGCACTTGGGAAATGAACGAAGGACTGTCTGGGAGGTTTAGGGAATTGCCTGGGTGCAGACGGTGCGTACTGCAAGGTGTCACTCTAAACACGTAATTTTCAGGCACCACTCTCATTGCTGATTCTGCAGGAAGGCAAAAACCTATTTCTCTTATTATGGAGCTGACATCTCAGTTGGGAATAGGTTCAAATCTATATTTCATTTGTATGTATTGAAATTTTAAAAAGAGAACGAGGTGTAGGAAAGCAGTATGCTAATGTGTACACAACTGAGAGAGAATGTCTATTGACTTTTCCAGTCTGATTTACTGTGTCCTTTGAACTATTAGGAAAAGGCTTGACACTTTGGTGCTGAACACAGAAGTCTCACTAGAAGGAGAGTATTACAGGATTATGCTTGACTACCCAGGTCTAAAATCAGAAAGAAAAAGATGATGCTTTCCTGAGGGGTCTTTGAACATTTCAGTTAGAAATAAAAGTCAAAGGGGGGTTTTAAAAGAAGGGCTGGCTATAGTTTTGGATATAAACTTCATTGTTCTATGGCACACATGAAGGAAGTTTGCAAGATAGTGGATTTGAAATGATGCTGCCTTCATTAATGTGACATTTATGTTTGTTGATGTTAGAAAGGAAGTCACTGAAGCAAATGAGTGTCTGTCTCCCACGTCACAGCATTGCTGAGTCCAGGCAGTTGTTCTGGTGCAGGTGCACAGTGAAAATGCAGAACAGAGGCCACGGAACTTTATGTGTGCTGTTATTTTTGAAGGAATTGCAGCAGGACTTCACTGTTCTTAAGAGGAGGGAAACTTACACAATCATCTAATACAGACAAATGATCTTTGATATTATCAGAGAAAGCCTGAAGCCATGTTTCTTGCCAGATTTAAGGCATTTCTTGTCAAAAGAGGAAATCTCTTTCCCAAGGAGCAGGTGCACCATTATAAGAGACACAAGGGGCTTTCTATTTTAAATGCAAACTCTAATTGAAGAGCAACAAGAGAATCCAGGACACTCTTAGGATAAAAGCCTAGTTTGGCAATCTTTCAGGTTATGTTGCAAACCACATAGGAGAAATATGTGTCTTGGGAGAAAAATAATGTTTGGTGAAAATTAAATAGTTGCTTCTGTGAAACAAATATCTTGACATACTTGTTTCCTTTTGCCCTTTGGTATGCAAATTCACTTGGAGGGCAAAATTTACTGAATATGAATTCATAATTCGATTGCTTAAATATATACTATGCACTTTTTTCAGTCAGATAACTAGATTTTATATTTTATGGTTTGCATCATAGCTCTTTTTTTAAGCTTTTAAAATTAATGACCAAAATGGTGATTGTTAATTGATATGATTGATGACTGGGCCCTAGAAAAGTATTAGCTGTATTATTGTGTGTTCACTTTGTGCATATGTGAGGTATAAAAATGTTAAATGCATAATCTCTTCACAAGGAATACAGAGGGGGAGAAATAGGAAATGTGAAAAATCAAATAATGCTATAAAACCTGAAAGAAGACATTTTATAGTTGAGTGCTCAGGAAACTCAACTCAATAGCAATTGAAAAGGAATTTGGAGAAGAAAGAAACCATATCTGCCTAGATGTTTCAGCAGTTATGCATGGATCAGTTATTAAGTCACCCCAAAACTTAGTTCCATTAGCTCATGATTTGGTTGGTCAACAATTTGGTCTGGATTCAACAAGGTGATTCTTCTGCTAATCCTAGCTGAGGATCCTCACACGTGCATCCTCAGCATGCAGGTAGGATGATCCTGGATGGTGTGCTCTCCTACTTGGCAGTTGTCAGGCCGATGGCCAAGTAAGTACATGGGTGAATGGGGCATGTACCTCCCTTCTTAGCAGATTAGCCTGGCCTTCACACAGCAGCCAAAGTGCAGCAAGTTCAAAGAGCAGAGTACTCAAAGAGCAGCAGAAGAACACCACCACTGACTTCAAGCCTCTGCTTGTATTACATTACCTGTTCTTCAATTAGCATCAAAGTGGAGGTCACCCCAGATTCAAGGAATGCGGGGAGACTCCACCTAAGATGAGAGGGAGCTGCAAAAAATAATAGCATTTTTTAAATCTGTTACACCTTTGAGGAAACTTCTGCAGGTGCATTCTGCTGAGGAGTGGTGGAATGCAGAGGAGTAGAGTTGCTCATGGAGAGCCCAGAATTTAGGTTCAGGAGTTGCCCAGTGTACTGTTAGCTGTAATCTTTGTCCTGTAACCACAGGTAGAACAGGAGAGGTACAGTGATAATAGAAGTATAGCCATATCTTTGTGACAGCAGCATCGCGATGCAGAAAGTAGACTGGTGGCAGGGTTAGTGGAGCGTGGTTGGAAGGAGGAGAGGCTCTGACCAAGGTGGAGGTAGGGACTGATCCAGAGAACCCAGGCATAGTATTTGGTGACTTATGATACCGGCTAGTGAAAGTACAGGGTCAGAATCATTCTGCGATTTCAAAAAGCCTAAGTGACTGACAGAATGGTTGTGCTATTCTGAGAAATAGAAAAATCAGTAAATGTTTTATTTGGAGGAGGAGAAGACTCCAGAAAGGTTGATTAAAAGAGATAAATTGAAGGCTGCAGAGTATGGTATGAGTGTTAGCTGTTGTTCAGTGTTTAAATTCAGTGGACTTTTGTGTGTAGTTAAGTTTCTTTAGTTGCAAAGCAGCAGAAGACAAAATGTGGCACTCGGGGCTACTGTAAGATATCACAGGGACATCAGAAGAACCATCCTTAGCCTGGAAACTGTCTGGGGTCTGGGAAGGAGAGCCAGTTCTCTTCTCTTCCTCCTGAAGCATGCTCTGAGGCCTGCCTTGGACTACTCTGCCCTTGGACTCAGCATATCTGCCAGGTGAGAGGACCCCTTTGGCCTGCTTTGAGTGGCATGCACACTCCTGAGCCAGAAGCCTTGCTTGACAGCCCCACCAATGCGGCACCCCGCAGGAAGGTGGTTGGTGCTTCCTCAAAGGACATTGGAGCACTGTGTTCAGAAGTGGGGATGGTCACATAGTGGCAGAACCAAGCATATGCACACTGGAAGATCTATTTAGGCCTAGCCACAGAGAAGTAAAGAGTGCAGGCGGCAACAAGCTATGCATATTTATGCTGTGATGTAGGTGCATTAATAAAAGTTAAAGCCATGCAGAGCTGAACATGGTGATACAGGTGCCTATAATCCTAGCATTTGGGAGGCTGAAACAGGAGAATGGCAAGTTTGAGGCCAGCCTGGATTACATAGTGAGACCCTGCCTCAGGAACAAACAAAAACAAAAAGCCCCAACAATAACCAAAAACAACAACAAAACCCATGTAGTGGTTGTGCTTTCTCAAGGAAAATAAAGAGATGACTTTGCACAGTGCTTTCTCCAGATTCCTCCATAAATGTTAGTGGACATTTTAGTAGAGGGAGAGGAATTCTAAACACATTCTGTTCTGTTTCACTTAAGGGCTCGTTGGAGTTACTGCTTCACCAGCATCACTTTATAGACGGGAGACTGAAATTCAGGTGGTGTCCTTACCACCCGGTGCAGCTCTTGGGCCAGACAGAAACACCTGGCCTCTCTGCACACAATTAGTCTGCACGGCACACACAGCTGCTCTTTATGGAGCCTGGGATGGACTGGCTCCAACCTGAGCATACACTTTGATAGTTTTTATTGCACAAGCCTAAGAACCTTGCAAACGTTAATTGAATGAGTGAACATGCCATTATCTGGTGCAGAAACATTTTCTGAAACAGTCTGGTCTGGCTTTTCATTATTCAGGGTAGAGTTTGCAATAAAATCCCTAAGTGCCTTTTGTAGATTTAAATGTTTTAAGCACTCTTGTCACAGTACTGTAGGCTTTTTTTTTAATTCACTAATAAAGATAAACTTATTTTTCTTGTTTGAAACACAGTTTGTCAGGACTCACTCTTGGTTGAAAATGACAGAAACTGTCTGTACTTAAGGGGGAAGGGGTAGATCCTGGTTAA